TTTCCAGCTCTTGTCAGAACCGCCAGGGCTGTGCGAAGTGGTCCTTCATGACATTTTTCTTTTGTGTTTACTACTTTGGTGCAGGCAAACTTACCTTAAAATGTTTCAAAGTGTGTATTCGAGTGGGGGAAAACGCCTCCATACTGTTTTTCCCAAAATAAGCACTAGATAAAGTCAAGATACATTTTTTGTTGTTGCTATGGACTGCGTTGACAAGAGTGATGCAGAAGTATTCACTAATCACTATGACGTTTACACTGGTGATGATAGAGAGAGAGAGAAAGCTGATTTCACGGTAATTGATCTAATTTTCAGCAGTAAGAAAAAAAGTTTTTTTTTTTTTTTGTAGAATATCAGTTAGACCTATATATGATATGAGAATAAGGGCTGTAGATAGGGAGTAGCCTACATGTTATTTAAGAAAAATATCCTTAGCCTATATTTTCAGATTGACAGAATTTTATTTTCAAACCTAGTCTGTGGGGTAAAACGCCCCCCAGTGGGCATGGCTTAATTACTGTAGTTACTCTATTCGGAACATCACATTCTTTGTTTTTCCATTAAATGTATTCTAACTAGGTGGTTGAATAAAAAAATATTTGGACTTTATATTTAAAATTACCTTAAGTTAGCATCAGCTAACAATATCTTTAAAATAGGCTATTATAATTAGGTAATTCATAAATACGGAATATAATCTTTTTAATTTTAAGCTAAAACTGCCTGTACTCTGATTTTGCTGTAAATGTATAAAGCAAATTGCTGTCAGACTGGGGGAGCATCTTACCCCACCTGTGGGGCAAAACGCCCCTTTGGTACAAATTAAAATTTTGTTAAAAATCTAATAACATGAAAACTCTTGACATTTTTCAATAACACATTTTTTTTATTTTTTTATTTTTTTACAAATTTTAAACAAAATTTTTTAACATTTTTAAACATATACTATTGTTATAATTTAGGCCCATGTCATTGCCTCTAAAACTATGATAACTATTCTGGACATACTTATCTTTTGTTTCACAGGGGGAAAAAATGGCACAGTCATTAAGGCGTGCATTTCCCCCCACTCTATGTACTGGCACACAAAGGGAAACAAACATTAGAAATCATTTGCAAGACACAGTAATTTTATAAAAGAAATATCCACATTATTTGAATAGCATGAAATGGAGGGACTCCCCCACCTTGAGCTGTCTGGTTGGTATCTCCCTCCTACACACACTTGACACAGAAAAACTTAGCCAGGGTAGTGCCATATTTATTTTTTGACAGGATCAAATGAGAGATGAGGGATAAAGTGTGGATCTGATTGAAAATCAAACTATAAAAACAACAGATGAAATATTCACAAAAAGAATATACAGTAATACTTTTGCTGATGGTAATGGGCTGTGCTGCAAATTGGTCTAGGTAAAGGAGGGCCATCAATTTCTTTGGATGATTATTTTGTACTGTCAGTTCAGCCCACACACACACACACAGAAACTGTAACGAAGTGAATACAGGAAGCGTGCGGATCCATCTGCAAGGCTTTATTCACAAGAGACGTGGTCAAAAACAGGCATAGGTCAGACAATGGCAAACAGGTATATTGATGGCAAGGCAAAAGGGATAATCCAGGTACAAGGCAAAGGTCCAGGCAGGGGCGAACAGTATCCAATTGG